ATTTTATTATCGAAACGAAATTAAGAAGGCGTTAATTTTACTGTGATGTTTTGTTTTGTTAATCTAATTACTAAAAAAACTAATCTGTGAAAAATTTGATTTCACATATCTTCAAAAACTTACCAAATATTAAAAATTTAAACAAATGTTCGGAATAAAAACCATAGGACTTATTCAATAAGACATGTTTTTTTATATTTTGTCATAATACAATATTTGAAGCTCAAAATATTCTAAAAAATACCGTCAACTTATTTTCAGACAAATAAGTTAAATCGAAAAGAAAACTGTTTTACTTATGAACCCGATCCATATTTACTGTAATGGAATACATTAACGAAAATTGAGCATAGAGATATCGTGTGCCTTACTTCATAATATAATCTTTTTATGCACTCAATTCGCATTTTTGGTATGCTCTGAATTTATTACCAAAAGTTTATTATGACAATAATTAATAATTCTATTTAATTTAAAACATTACATTGAAACAATATTATGAAATTTATTAAATTACCAAATTATATGTAAACGTAGGATATTTATGTAAATAACAGTGTTTATTAGTCTAACATAATTTTATCACTACTTTTGATGTTTTTTTTTTTTTTGTGAGTTATTTTAATATAACTGGAGTATTAAGTACTTGATTTAAATAATTATGCTTACAACAACAAGATTTTTTATTTAATTTACATATAAATATATAAATTATGATTATTTAATGATTAATTTTAAATATCTTTTGATTGATTTAATGTCTCTAAAATTGAATTTATATATTTTCGTTGATAGCCTTGAACGAACTTTAGTAGTATTTAAATGGCATGTTAATTATCAAAAGTGCTGCCAGGAAAAATTAGTGATTGAGGTGTTTTAACAGTAAATTTCACGATACTTAAAGAATAGTCATAATTTGAATTTTTAGAGTGTATCATATGCATTAAAATATATCATTAATTAATTTAGCATACTGTAAATTATTTTTAATTTTAGGTTTATATATTATACATATACGAAGTATTCAATGAAAGAACGCTTACAGTTATTAAAAGTTATATTATCTCACAAAGGTTGGAAACTTTGGAAGCATATAACTGTGAAAAATGACTTCAGTAATTGGACTAAAATAAATATTGATCAATTGAATATTCCAATTAATAGCATTAATTATTCATACTTACGGTCATGCATTACACAGTTTTTTAAATGCCGCTGCATTGAAATAATCAAATATATTATTCATATGTTGAAAGGTATTATGAAAGTTTGTGAATATGAAAATAAAAATAGCTGTGCAACTACGATTTTCGATATTATGTTAAGATTTGATGATATGTTTAAAAATATGTTATTTGCATTGATGACACTGAGATATACGAATCATGGTATTGAAAGACGCAATACTCCAACAAATATAGAGTTACTTATAGAATTTTGTAAAAATTTTGTTTATGATATGAAAAGGAAATATCAGTCATCAAGTTCTTTCATAATGCAAATTATGTATTATGAACCAAAAGAATTTCTCGATGACATAAAAATGTTTACAAAAGATTTATCAACTAAATTTTTTCATACATCTCAATTTCAGATGAAGTATTGTACTTTTGGCAAGGATACTGATTTTAAGGATTTTATGAAAGAATTTAATGACTTAATTATAATTGATATTTTAAAAGAATACACTAATATTCATAAAACTATGTATGAGTTTTTTAATATGTTTATTGAGAAGATTAACAAAGATAATTATGAGAATTTAGGTTTTAATAAGATAACTAATACATAAACTATTATTTTTTTAATTATATTCAAATAATTTTGCATATATAAATTTAATTTATTTGTTTCTCTTAAAAATATATACATTTAACTAATAGTTATTTTTTTGTTTATTGAATATATTGAAAAACCTCAAGACTCTTTAAATACTGGAATATTCAGAGGCAAGGAAACCATATTTAGCATAGTGATCTAAAACGCAATTATAGCAATATTAATATAATTCATAATTTTACTAGGATAAATTCAATTGTATTCAAATATATTGTTAATAGAATTAAATTTATTCGTAACATATTAAATATATGAAATTAACTAATTATTATTTTCTATTGATTGGATATTGTTGTGGCATATATGTATTGGTCGGCCGCTACGGTAAATAGTGTCTTTCGACTATTAAAATTATTATTTTTAATATTAGTAAATTGCGATATACTTTGCCGTTCTATAAGTTACAAATTAATTTAATAATTATATCACTGTCCATTATTTATGAATAATGTATTATTAATAATAAATTATTATATATTTGAGCGTACGAATGAATTTTTTTTTTAAATTGGTAAATTTTTCTCACTTTTTTTCTAAAATTTTTTTTTTATTTTTTAAGCTTCAACTTCTAAGGTTATTAGCTTGAACAAAATTAAATTATTAGGTTACATATACGATTATACATAGTATTTCTTAAAATAGTTAAATACAAATATACAATGGCTGATTAAATTGAGTTGTACATATCGATTAGTTTAAGAAATGAGATTATTTTGATGGTGTTGTCATGGGTTGGGCTGAGGGCTTCAAAGAGGTTATCAGGCATTTCTAATCTTTTTCTGGTATCTATATGGTTACGAAATTGGACAAGGAGGTGCTTGACTGTGAGAGGTTCTCCGCAGGTTTGGCACATTGCAGGATCTTCTCTGCACATAAGATGTCCATGGGACATCTTTGAGTGGCCAATACGTAGTCTGTTGATAACTACTTCGTCTTTGCGATTTGATGTATGAGGTTTGGGCCAGTATTCTGTAGTATTTTTTATTTCCCTTAGTTTATTATTAGGTGTACGCCGCCATTTGGATTCCCATACATTTGTACAAAAGGTGCTTACATTCCTATCGATGTCAATGAGTGAGGAGTATGTGCGTATCTCGGTCAGAGGGTTATCTTTGTTAATCTTCTCAATAAACATATTAAAAAACTCATACATAGTTTTATGAATATTAGTGTATTCTTTTAAAATATCAATTAATATAATTATTGTAAAACAATTCAATTTCATTTTCAATACATTTTGGATTGATTAAAGAAGAGTTTATTATTCTTAAATCTATTTG